AGACAGTGTTTCGTGTATAACTCTGTTCTATTACATTAAATTGATGTTGGGTTGGTGTCTACGATCAGCGTTTTTCACTACATGCATGCAACCAAAATCTCAAGTCAAAAGCTTAATATATAGATAAACTTCAGGGGGGTTAGAGAATTATGGCCAGCACTGTATTATGTGTGCACAATCTCATTCAACTGATGATCTTGTTGTATCAGCATCACTTGATCAAACTGCTCGAGTTTGGGATATATCAGGTTTAAGAATAAAAAAATGTTTATTCAACACATGATACAATTCAATCATAAATTCAACGTACTACAGGAACACCAGATTTATTTGAACAAGTTAGCTGAATGATTGTTAATTCTTTTCCTTAGAAAAGAGATAATAACTTGAATTGTGTCCATCTTTGTGACTTACTACTATGATTGATCTAGGCATTCACAAATAGGCGCATAATCAGCCTACGATACAAATGCACTACTCATAAAGCATAATTGTTCGTTGTTAAAAACAACTTTTCTTCTGAAAATATTTAGGCTGATGCAATTGTAAAACATGTATTAGAAGGACATGATCGTGGTGTTAATTAGGCAACATTTCATCCAACATTACCATTAATTAAAAGAGAAGAGAAGAGAAAGATTAATTATTGAATGTGTACTGCTGATTTAGAAACGGGATCAGGAAAAACTTTAGCATTTACTCTTCTAATAATTTAACTTCTTCAAATCGATCAGCGAACACATTGGGATCAATCTCCTCGTTGTCTTGTTTTGGAATCAACTCATGAATTTACTAAACAAATCATAATTGATCTTCTTTCGATAAAAACTCATTCGTTAGTTCTAACAACACTTTATGAAGAGAAACAATATTCATCTCAACAAAATTCATTAAAAAATATTCAGATATTGTTGTCGAAACATCAGAAACAATCAAAGATTTTTTACAACAACAAAAATTTATTTTTCAACAATGTCAAATTCTTGTTTCGCTCAAATTGATCAAATGTAAGATATGGGATTTCAAGTAAATCATCTTCTTTAAAAGAAAAATTTCCATTCTGCAATGGAAATCTCTTCAATTGTTTTCTTAACGAGAAAATTCTTTTAAATGTTGAAATCTTTCTTAGAATGATGTGGATTTTATTCTTCAAAATACATAAAATCAAGAAAAAACAACAAATGATTGTTTTTCTCTACGACAAATCTTCCATGGTTGAAGAAAAGTGTTTCTTGTTATGTTTCGAAAGAATTTTCTCATTTATTAATTTCTTTGGAGATTCTCGAGAGAAAACAGCAGAAAATGTTGAACATTGTTCATTAAAATATAATGAAATTTCTCCTCGAGTTGAAATTATTTTAAATCTATTTCAAAATAATCTCAAAATCTGTACGAAAGTCAAGTGATCACCGTTTGTCAAAATAAACATGAATGTGATCGATTAATTTATAACAATGATCAAATGAAACAATTGAACATTATTCAAAGAAATACAGTTAGTTAATATTCTCCAAAAAAAAAAGAAAATCAATTTTTGACTTTCTTTCTTTTAGAATATTTAATTTACAACAATTTATTTTCAATCATTGATCAAAAGTCTAAACAAACTCAACAGATCAAATCTTCATTTTTCAATCTCTTGAGCACGTTTCATTAAATTTTTAGCTAAACATTAATTAACAATATACAACATCGAAAGATCAAATTTCTAATCGTTGATAATCTTAAATAAGTAGAAGTTCTGCATAACATGATAGACGAGTTTTTGATAAAAGACTAAACCAATTTTGAATATGACCTAAACAGAGAGAACGAATAGCACAAAGACTATCGTTAAAAGAAACCTTCTTCATATAAATTGATAAAATCGATTTCTATTGAACCAGTTCGATCATTTTTAAGTAAATTTTTATCATAAACAGCACTATGAAGAATATTTTCACTTTGAAGATGATTTCCACAATGAACGATTGAAAATGAAAAGAGAAAATAAAATTCGATTTAACTTACAAAAACGTCTGTCGTTCCATTGAGCATTTTCACAATTATGTTTATTGTTGTTTTTCATCTTGATCCTCGAGATAAATTTCTACAAGCGCATCATTTTTACTAAAGAAATCTTTTTTTTTCAAGTTTCAGCTTTGAACAACTATCACTTGAATTTGAGCCATTATTAAGGAAAAAACAATGATTTCGTCATCAAATTGATTACCTACTTTTTTCTAGACTAATCGAGTTCGATCATTGACATTTAACTTTCATGTCAATCAAATGAATAATTCAATCAGAAACAGAAAGATATATTACTTGATGAATCAGATCATTGAAAAGATTTCCATTGTTGGAATTAAAATCAAATATCATCCCAATGATAGAGAGAACAATCAACAGTTTCAATACTGGCAATGAATATCGAATGCATTTCTTTCTTTTTATCCGCCACATCGATCGGAGCAAATTTTTTTCTTTAATACCCTGGAAAAATTCTCCAACACAATCAATATCTCCAGTTGTTCCGAAGAATTATATTGAGATATTTCATTTGCCAATTGATTCGTTTTATCTTGATTAAGACCATTCGATTTCCAGTTTCGAATCCTTTCATCTAAAGACAAATCTAATAGCAAAAGACAAACAACTCGTTCAACTCACCTTTCGATCTATTGAAAACATTTCACCATCGTTCGTTTCATCTAATAAACGTTGAATAGAAACCTTTCGACACATGAACACACTGCATAAGAGTAGCCTGTTCTTATCATTATGAATGTAAGCAACATAGTTTCTAGTGTAGTTTGGTATGCTATTTCTAACAGGGCAGTTGGAATTCAAATTTGTTTATAAATTCGAGAGAAAACCCAAGTGACAACCATTCTTTCTCGAAACGCACGGCGCTTCTAGATACAGCCAACAATGAGTTATTTTACCGGTCGAAACTACGTGAAAACTTATCTATCCTGTAGAGCAGAACTTTTTCTATCGAATGGTGTGTCTTGATGCAGTTTTAAAATTGAAGTAAAATTGCAGAACATGCTGAAAAGAAGTGGTCGGACAATTTTCACCCATGAAAAATATATACGATTCAGCTTTTGTGGCTTCAATTACTCAACACATTAAGATGAACTAAATTTCTGTAAATATATACCCTCCATGTCCTTTGATTCGGCTAAAAATTGCCGATTAATCCCGATTCATCGAAACGATAATCGTGAGCTGAACCGCGATAGAATCGCCGATTATTCCCGATTATTCCAGCGATTTTTACGATAAATCGTGATTTTATGCAAGATTTAACCGTCTGTTTACTGATATTTTCTACTATTTCATTGGTTCTTTTGGAGACACATATTTGGATTTTTTCTTGAATTTAATTCAATTTTTTTTGTTCTCAAGATCCAAGCCGATCAGATCGTGCGATCTGTCCGATCTCGAGCTGGTCCGATCCTTATCAGACCGCTTCAATGTAGTCCTCTCCAGATCATGGATCGGGATTGGCATTTCCTTGATTAAAAATAACCAAGAAATAATTTATCAGAAGAGTATATTTCGAAAACTTATTTGTTATGCATTGAATGGCGCTGTTTATATATCCGTGTGTGTTCATAACAAAACGGTGAATGAATAATTGTCATGATTTATCAATGATTTTTGAAAATCAGCTCTTCTCCCATAATCGCGATAAAATCTGATATGATCGTCGATCTTTTAAAGAAATACGATAAATTACGATTTTACGCCAATTTTTTAGAAAATCGTGAAAATCGCGGTGATTCTCACGACATGGGTGTTTCTCGATCATTTTCATTTATTTCAGATAAGGTTTCTTTTAAAATTTGTGAATAAATTCAAGACATTTCTTCAGATTTCATTTACATTCTTTCTAAATCTTACAATTTAGTTAATCTTTAAAGGAATCTTAAAGAAAGTGTCTGATTTTTAGATTGAAATTAAGAAAACCATTTTTTATGTAACATCGCTTCGATATCCAAGTAGATTTTCTTTTGTTTTTGATAGTGATTTTTGCATCAACTATCAGTTTCGAAACATCCATTGAGTAATTATTTTGTTTTTTGATCTTAGTTATTTATCAAAAACTTCTCTGATCGATCTAAATTTCTTTGAATAAATTTGGTACTGAAACTCATTAATTCTCTTACGACATAAAGACTTACCTTGAATGTTATAGCCTTGATCACCTGTGATGTGAATTGGAAAAATAAAAGTACCGAAAATCGGTTGTTTTAAAGCAACGAAAGAAAATATGTGAACGATTGAGAGAATAATGATCACGTTCTTTTTTTGTAAAAGAAAGTCATTACTTGGGAACAAGTAGCATCATTTTAATCGACATCAACTTTTCATTGATCAACGAGGGGATTTAGAAAAAAAAACAAAAAGTAACTTTTGAATAATCTTATTTTAATATTTTCAATTTATTTGTTTGTCAATGTTATGCTCATTGATAAGAAGAAACAATAAAAATGAACATAAATCGCATTCTGATTTGTAATGCATGATCAGATGATTCTATCAAATGAAAACATGTGTGTGTGTGGTTTTCTTATCTTTATTCATTGTTTATATTGATATACTTGAATTATTTGGTTCAGAAAAAGTTTCATTAAATGACGTACTTACTTCTGCTATTCAGTTAGCTGAAGAAGGATATCCTGTCTCAGAAATAACTGCTTTTTATTGATCATGTTCAGAAAAATTAAAGAAGCATCGGAGAATGGAAATGATATGTTTAGAAATGGCACAGCACACGAAGCAGTAGAAATAATGACAATGCCAAAACTTGCTAAAATATTAAGAGAAATTGCTGAAAAAGTTCGAGATGGATTTTATAAAGGATATGTTGCAGAAGCTATTGTTCAATTAATACAGAGTAAAGGTGGTTTAATGACACTTGCAGATTTAGTAGAACATCAATCAACACCTGTTCAACATATTTCAATTACATATAATATGAAAAATATTCCATCAGTTCGAGTTTGGGAATGTCCATCAAATGGACAAGGTATTATTGCTCTTATGGCTATTAGAATATTAGAACAAATGCAAAAACAAAACAAAATTCCTTCTTTAGATAAATTAGAACATAATTCAGCTGATATCTTCATGCTCTCCAGAGATGGGATCGGTTCGGTTTTTAACCGAACCGAACCGACCGACCGTAACCGAAATCGGTTCGATTCGAGATTTTTAAAAAATTCGGTCGGTTACGTTCGGTTCGGTTAGGAATTTTTTCGGTTACGATCGGTTCGGTTAGAAATTTTAAAAAATTCGGTCGGTTACGTTCAGTTCGGTTAGAAAGAATCGACATAATCTTTTGATTTGAGTTCGATGGACTTTTTGAGACAAAAGAAGAAAAAAGAGTGTAATCGTACAACAATTAGTTGTTGTTCGTAACTCGTATTATCTCACATGTTTTTTAAATTTGTTGTGAGAGGTAAGAAAGTTATAATACAGTAAGAGGATTCAACAAATAATCTTTCTTCGTTACTTTCTCTAGATTTTGATTGCTCATAGCTGCTACTGTTCGATTTGTTGTTGAGCTAATTAATAAAGCACTAATACCCTAATTAACATAAGCGAAACTTCGCTTTCTCTAAACTCGGTTCGATTACGAAATTTTTGAAATTCGGTCGGTTACATTCGGTTCGGTTAGAGATTTTTTCGGTTACGGTCGGTTCGGTTTGGCAAAAATGCCAACCGATCCCACCTCTGATACCTATCTGCCTTTTTTTAAAAATACAACGAAGTGAAGGTGCTAGCCATTGTGTCTTGCAAATTGAGTATCTTTGCTGGTGCTCGTTTTTACATACATTTCAAAATTTTAGATTCATTTTATAATCTGTAAGGTCATACAGCTCTACTCGAAAAAAAATCTCTGAAATTTTCTCTATCACGAAGACAAAAATAGCCTCATGAATTAGAACAGACTGAAAATATTTAAATTTTTTACCCTAAAACTACTTATGGACTACCCTGCAGCATATACATATAAACAAACTTGGCACATTCTTGTATTTTTTAAATCTTTTCCAGCGCAGAAATATTGGCATTAACTCCTAATAAAAGAATCGAACTATTTAATTTTTCAGATACGAAAGATGTCGCTAGTTGACAGAGTTCATCATATGATATAGTTTTAATTGTTTTGTATTTTATATATTTTCTTTTTCTTTTTCTTTCTTTCATTATAGTCAATTTTATATAAATAAATAATTTTTAATTCTAATAGATTCATATCATTCTCACAATTGGTTCTTCTATCTTCGTTCTCTCTTGTTGTATCAACATGGCCGATCCGTTCATTTCATTCACCAATTATTTCAACATTTAAAAAAACATTTTCTTATTATTGCAGACAAATAAAAAAATCAATCATGAGTAGTACAACTATAAATTTATCTACAGATGATTTATGTCGTGTTCGTGAAGAATTATGGACAAATATACAAGATATTGATACACGTTTAAAACAAACTTATGTTCCACCACAATTTCGTATAACAACATCATCAACAAGTAATCAACGTACATTTTCAACAAATGGTCATCAAACAACATCATCATCAACTGTAAAACGTTCTCGTATACCATCATCATCATATGATGAACATAGTACATCTTTACCAGAAACAACTTTTGATGAATCATCATCATCATCAAAATCTCTTCATTCATCTATTGTACCAACAAATAAAATAATAAAAACTAAAGATGATCTTATATCACTTGTTAATCGTGATCAACAATCAACAATACGTAATCGTCGTATGTTTGGAGTTTTATTAGGTACATTAAATAAATTTAAAGCTGAAGCTAATGCTTATAATGAACAAACACTTGGAATAAAACGACAACAAATCGAACGACGTTTAGAAGAAAAACAAGCAAAAGAACGTGAAGATAAACAACATGAACGTACAGAATTATTAGCATCAAAAAGAACTTGTCAACAAAAATTAAAATTAGTTAATATTAAAATTGAAATTATGCAACGTATGGCAACACATGAAAAATTTCATTTACCATTAAGAAATTTTATACGTACAAAAGCTAAACCATATGTTTTTTATTTACCTAAAGGTTCAATTGATGAAGTATTTGAAAAAAAACTTCAAGAAAGTCAAAATGAAATTGATAAAGAAATGGAAGAATTTAAACGAGATTGTCAACGTGAATTAGATTTACTTGATGATACAACAAATATAAATGATGATGAAACAATAAATAGTAAAAAAAGAAAATTAAGTGAACATGATGATGATCATGATATTGTTGATGATGATGATGATACATTAGCTGATTTACCTGATGAAATAACTTTATCTGCACCAGAAGTAAAAAGTGAAATTGTTAATACAACAATAAATTCTATTGTTGAACAATCAAATAATAATGATAATAATAATAATAATAATTCATCACTACCAATAAAAACAACACGTACAGTTATTTATGATGAAATAAAAACAACAAATCAACAGGATGATCAATCAATGATTGATGAATAATACGAGGATGATAAGAGAAACAAAAAAAAATGAAATTCTCTCTTTTGTTTTGTTGATGTTGTTCCTTCTTTTTTCGTTTTTTTCTTTTCACTGTGCTCGTCTTGCTATATGTATGTGTGCGTTGTGTGTGTGTATGTATCAAAGAATAGGAGAGAGAAAAATTGTATATCATTATGATTTTCTTATTAACCGATGTAACTATTGTTATAAAAAAACCAAATCGGTAGGAGAAAGTATGTGATCAACAATTAATTCTTCATAATTGGATATGAATTGGAGTGACCAGTCTAATTGGATGTTCCAATTCTTTTTTTTCTTTGCACAGTTTCTATAATATATCGAAAGCATATGACTTCTTTTTTTTGCAAATTATAGTTCTGATGTAATGTTGATGATTTTTTATTATTTCAATTATACATCTTGTTCAAAACCAAAATAATCAGACATCTTCGTAAAATCTTCTGCTGAAACATACTTTTATCAAACTTGTTCAATGTAATTCGTACTTGTTATCTAAAACAGTGAGATACACAACTAAACATCGTTGAGGATGTGAATGAAGAGTCAACATAGACCATCCGACAGTCATATTCTGATTGCTAAGCCTTTTCTCTGCAATATTCGTGTAGTCTAAAAACATGAAAGTGTATTTTACGAGAACGCTATATAAGTTTGCTTTTAAATAAGATATATAATCAAAACAATAAAAAAGTCATAAAAACCACATCAGAACTATAACTGATAAAGAAATCATATATTTCTGATAAGTCATAGAAGTTGTAAGATAAAAATGAATTCAGGTATTCGATTAGACTGTCTACTTCACAAATACATAGGGTTAACAGCAAGTTTCTTGTGTTCCAATCTTCTTAAGGTCGTAGTTTTGAAGAAGAAGTAGAACGCTTCTGCCTAGTAGAAAATTGAATAGCTTGATATCTTTCATACGATCAATACGACCTGTTGGTCTGAACAGAAAGCCAGCCTAACACCGAAAAACAGCGGTTAGTAGGTTGTCCAAGGTTATTCTATGACTAGTCGTACTAAGCGTTTAAATGCAGTACCTTATGGATGCATGTCAATCAGTGCAGCCAATCAACTATTGCAGCCTTAAGTAGTAATTTGAGCACAACTATTGTACTATAATATTAAGACATATTTAAGATTATGTACAAACATTTAGATTTAAAAAGTTTACATTTCATTGTATTTTAAAATTTCTTTCCAATTCGGAATAGAGCATTTTTCATGTCTCATAAATTGACTTAGTATGCGAAGATGGTCTTACCTCTAGAGCATGAGAAGCAGCGATATATACAATCATGAAGTACTGAGCGATTGTCCACACGTTGAAAAGTTGCTACTCATAGTTTTTTTGAGGCAGTAACAATAGCTTACAGCTGTTCATTCCTCAACATAGTTTGACTAATAAAATGCGCATAAATAAAAAATTTTGCCTACGTAACTGATGAGCAGATTTAACACTATGAACTCTTTCATTCATTCATTAATTTGTTTTATTCGTTTCAACACAGTGATTTCATTATTGGAGATTTATTTCATTCAGGTCGCTGCATCTGGTTCTATAAATAGGGAAAATTTCAATGATGCTCCAACAATAATTGAAGATGATTCCCATTGAATATACAAATGAATGAAGAACTCTCTAATCATTAATTAGTAATAGTTCATAGTAACGAAAAAGGTCAAACAAAGACATAGTGCTAGGTTTATTAACGAAATTTAGTTCAATCAAGTCCATGTCATTATGATTGAGTATATAGAAGTTCATCTGTCGGTGTCTGCTCAGCGCAAGTTTTTAACATGAATCAACAGTGAAACGAAAGATATATTCTTGAAATCTATGAAGATGTCAAAGCACGGACATTCTGTAATATCTATGAACTTTAACTTTAAGATCAAATGACTTTTGTTCTGCTTTAGAAACTTAAATATCAACTACATGAAATAGGATCGAACGATGACAAGACAATGTTACATGTGTAAGAAATGTCACTACCACCCTCATAAATAACGATCTTAAAAATTACTTTCTGAATCTTGTTTAATCGACTGAATAATTGTGTCTTGCATCAAAAGTTGTACTTTTGAAAAAACAACAATCGAGTTAATCTTTGAATACTTGTGTAAAAGGTTGGCGAAAATACTTTAAGAGTATCCCTTCCAATACTGAAACTCTATTCCATGTGCACTAATTATTTTTCATTTATGAATGTCTTTTTGCAGAGAATATCCTAGATTAACTCTTGATAGAAAAGAATTTTAGAGAGATAACCAAACCTAAAGAAAGTTGTGATCGAGTAAAATAAACTTGAAATTTAGTTTCACTTTTAACTCTTGACACACTGCAGACAAGTAAGTTTATACCAATATAATAAAATATATTAAGCGAAATTTGACTATTGAATAATCATTTAGATATCAGAGCTTAATGTTTGGTTTATAGTGTACAAAATCGTATTCATTCTATAACGATTCTTTTCAAAATAATAGATTTTCACAACATGAATGGATAGTTGCAAAACCATCGTCATCATCATTCATGAATTGTTTTATTGATTTTATCTTCATTATCAAAACAAAAACCTATTTGAATAATTGAATCATTTTTTGATAACAGTTAAAAATTTCTATCATTCGATATTGATTAACTTTTGACTTGCCATCATTTCGCGACACACTTAAAATGTTATTTAAATACTTCTAAATTATATTTCATACTTCCTTCGCTAACACTCAAAGTGTTCTTGAGAATTTATTTATTAATTATTCATATAGGTACTTATTCAAGACTCTATGTCTCTATTGTATAGTAATTTGGCCACTCCTCTAGATGATCATTCATACATACAATGTAAGTATTAAGTAACTAAACATGTGATATTTTCCAATGGATCTACCTACAAAAATATGATACAACTATTTTAGATATGATCAATCTGTTTCAGATTTTGTTATTAATATTCATTCAAATTCAAATGAAAAGACGCTCTTGAAAATATGAGAAAATAGTCCTAAAACTCAAAATTCATTTATATAGTATATAACAATAATTTTTTAAAAAGATTTTGTGGTACTTATAGACGATATGTTTTGTCTTAACCCTAATGCACGTTGTATTGTGTATAAAATGTATTTTATGTAGCTTACGACAGTGCATATGTCGTATAACAACCGTTTTGTTTTACAACTAAAACATGTTCTATAGTAATTTTCCTGTTAGAACTAAAGTATACTAAGAAAATTATTTAATTCTAAACAAACTAACAACAATAAAATAAAAGGCTATAAGAAAAAAAATCGGTATCAGCTCATAATTATTCATCGTTTAATTACATATTGTCTTGAATTTTTGCAGCAAATTAGCACGAGCATGTGGACGATAAAATAGAGTAGAAAAAACGCAATATTGTATTCACGCTTAGATCAAGAATAACTTGTATCGGAAATTATATTGAAGCATTTCCACGTGAAATATACAACGATATTTGTTAGGAAACGTCAAGAAAATTTACAAAAAGGGTAATCTTTATATCGAACATGTTACTATCTCTATACTAATTTCTCGAATAATAAGTGCAAAATTCCGACATAATTATATAAAGTTAATTCTTTTTTTGTTAAAATGTACTGTTCTATTACATGGATTTCTCTTGTGTTACAGTCCCCCTCACAAAAGTCACTTTCCGCCGGTATCATCGAAATTGAGATAAATTCATGGAGAAATAGCCCGTCATCTGCTCTTTCATATGCGGCAAAAATTATTATTTGGCACCTCTTTTTTCCAAAAATTTTGGAAGATTTTCGTCATCCCCCTTTATTCGAATAATAAGCCGTTTTTACAAAAACAACCGAAAATCATTTTTCGTTTTTCTCAAAACATGGGTTCAACAACTCAGCGCCAGCAGAACTCTATCATAGTAAAAGATAAAGTCAAATATTTTTTTGTTTGAAAGCTTGTGTCTAGGGCTAGTCCTCCTCGTAGCCCTTTTATTTTCATATAAGAAAACACCTCTATAAAAACAGCACCATTTTTTTAGGGTTTTTTTGAGTCATTGCACTTGTCATTCCTTTTTTCGTTTAAAAGTAAGAATTTAAAAAGAAGAGCCACAAAAGCGGCTGCATTCTGCCATGCACCTTCAAGCAAAAAAAATATTTGACTTTATCTTTTACTATGATAGAGTTTTGCTGGAGCTACGATAGACCTATTATTGACTCTTGTTCGATGAATATCTCTGTCAAACGTCATGATATAGGGCTAAAAATTTTACCATAGTCATCACTCATCAGCTCCGACATATCCTGAAAGTTTCATGCAATTAGAATGTTTCTGGACTGAGATCCATTTTTGAGGGAAGGGGAAGGCCTTAACGACAGAATCTGACCAGGTGGAAATTTACATTTTAGATGCGACTTACCTCATTAAGTAGGCACTGTCAAGTCTAGACAGAGAATGAAAAACATTCTACCTAATGTGTTCTTTTCTGTCGAGTTTTGCCTGTTTGAATACATTTTCTATGGAATCTCTATGCTTATTTTTAGAACCCATTTAAAAGCAAATTTCAACATCCAATTGTTTACAAATATAGTTTTCAACATAATTAGTCCACTGTGCAAGGACCAGAATCGTTAGTATCTTCGATTGTGACGTTTAGTTATAAAAATGAAGTTCGAATTTTTATCGCATAACAGAGTTTTCAATATAAACGTCTAAGGATAGATGATACTACTGTCCATTTCAAAATAGAAGGCGAGTGATTGTAAGATGAATAACTCACGAACGCGATGAGATATTGTGAAACGGTTTCGCCAGCTTATAGACGAGTCTGAGGGACGTCGATCTATGAAAGAAGAAAATTTTTCGTCCGAGTTTCTAGCTAGTTTTCACGTGGATCTTTGGAAAACTACGATCATTTTTAGGGATCCAACATTAGATTTTCATTTTTAACACATGTATTCCATAGAGAAAACTGTTCTCTTTC